CCTCCCCCATATGCTTCCCTGTGCATCTCTTCCATTTGCCTCTTCCTGAGTTGTATCCTTTATAATGAACTGGTCATCGTAAAGTCCTTTTCAAGTCCTGTGAGCTCTTCTGGCAAAATATCAAACCTGAGGAGGGGGTCATGGGAACCCTGCATTTATAGCTGTTTCGTCAGAAGTTCGGGAGACCTGAGACTGGCATCTGAGTGGGGGCAGTCTTGTGGGACTGAGCCCTTAACCTCTGGCTAGCTCTGAGCAGTCAGTGTCAGAAATGCCTTCACTTCTTGGACAGCAGTTGGTGTCAGAGAATTGCAGAACTGTGTTGGAAAAGATGCCGTGTATTTGGTATCAGAAAGAATCTGAGAAACTTTCTAGACTAAAATGATTTTAAAAATGTGTTATTGGGTTTATCATGCTTCTTATAAAAAATACAGCAAAAAAGGGAAAAAGAAGAAAATAGAAATTTATAAAGAAACAAATAATACTGTTTAAACTTGAGGAACCTTAAAAATACATTGCTATAAATATACACAAGTAGCTATATATACAGCTATTTTTTGTAAATGAAATCATCCTACATGTGGTATATATAGATGTGCTTTTTGCACGCAGCATCATCTTGAACATTATTCATTGTTAAGAAATAGAGTTTCCCATCTCCTTCCTAATGCCCAAACTGTGAGCATCGTATACACATCCCACCTGTATTCCGTTAGTCTCTAGGAGATGACTTTCCGAGCTTATTGTAATCTTGTAGGGTCATTGATACCAAACTGGAAAAATTGCTAAGGATTTCTAAATAACAATTGTGTTTATTTACTTATTCATTCCCTCGGTTTATCTCAACATAGCTTAAAATTGCTTCTAACAAGTGTATGTCTGACACAATATAGTGAACTTATGAGTAGCAATTAGAAATTCAGGAGCAGGAAAAGGGGCAGCCCTGACCTTGTAACTGAGATTCAGGGGGTGAAAGAGTGGGGGTGGTGCACGAGAGCAGGGCCTGAGGACAGGTGCCAAGGCTCTGGGGCTGTCGGTCTGATGAGGATTGCCGATCTGACTGTGCTCTTTAGGGTAAGTTCACTCACAGCCCATTGCAAGAGCAGACCCTCAGGCTCCTATTGTCTGTCTCACCGTCTTATGCTCAGATGTCTTCTTGTCCTTCTATGGTTAGTTGGTGTTCAAGAGCTCACCTTGGCCTCCATTCTCACCTGGTGCTGTCCTCTCCCCGACCCCTTTTTCTCTCTCTTTCTCTCTACAGTCATGTGCCGCTTAACAGTGGGGCTACGTTCTGAGAAATGCATCATTAGGCGATTTCGTCGTTGTGCGAACATCATAGAGTGACTTACACAAACCTAGATGGTATAGCCTACTACACGCCTAGGCTGTATGGTACCAGTCGTATGGGACCACTGTCGTATATGTGGTCCATTGTTGACTGAAACATTGTTATGGGGTACATGACTGTGTAAGGATGGAATGTCTAGATATATAAACTCTCTCTATATCTATTTCCTCTTTCTAAATATATGTATGTAGGTGTATATGTGTGTATGTATGCATATAGCCATATGTACATATGCAAAAAAATGTATATATGACTATAACAGAGATATAGAACAAAATGGAATATATAGGTATAAATTTTCTTTGTATATATCTATTCCTTCTCTATAAATATGTGTATAGTCGTATGTATATATATATATGTGTGTGTGTGTATAGCCATATATATATATGTATATAACTATATAGAGAGAAAGGAAAGGAGGGAGATTCTTCTGTGCTGGTCATGATATTTTAAGTTTCATACTTGGAATTTTGTACTTGGCAAATGCCTATACGGACTCTAGTGATGGTCTCGAATAAACAGACGCCCTCATCTGTGTTCTGTGTGTTCTACAGCAACCCCCACCCTTATTTTACATCTTTCTCTGGGTGCTGCTTGTGATGGGAAATTATGTAGTCTTAATTCAGTGTTTATGAGATGTCTGCAAATTCAGTGAATTCTCAGGATTATTTCAGTGCTGAGCCCATTATCTACAGCTCTTTTCCTTTTCCCCCTGTCTTTCTCCCTTCCTTTTTTTTTTTTTTGAGGAAGATTAGCCCTGAGCTAACATCTGCTGCCAATCCTCCTCTTTTTTGCTAAGCAAGACTGGCCCTGAGCTAACATCCGTGCCCATCCTCCCCTACTTTTTATGTGGGACGCCTGCCATAGCATGGCTTGCAAAGTGGTGCTATGTCCACACCCTGGATCCCAACCGGGAACCCCGGGCTGCGGAAGCGGAACATGCGAACTTAACTGCTGTGCCACCAGGCAGGCCCCCTCTCTTCCTTTCCTTTCTTCCTCAGCCTCAAAAACTCCATGGCTTTATCCCTTTACGCAGTCACAGTGGCCTGGATTTTGCCAGGCTGCAGAGAGCCTACCCACCAGCAGGGGGAGCTGTAAGCTCTTCAAGTGGTTTTTGTGTATAGGGAAGACGACGGAATTTTGCGTGTCTAGTAGAATATAATGGAAAATTTAATTTCATACATGATTAACAGATTCATTTTCAATAACTTAAAATGTATTATTATTTTCCTCAAATAAAAATTAATAATTACATGTAAACTTAATTAGCTCAGTAATTTTTTTTTTTTACTGCAAATAATGCTTTAGACCAAAATGCTGCTGGCAATCATTAATATGGGTGACATTATTATATAAAGTGGTTAATATTTGAAGAAATAATTAGAGTTTGGCATCTGGGTGGCTTCAGACAATTCCTATGAATCCGGACAATTTGTTACTCTAAACTGGGTCCTGCCGTTGCCTAATAGTGTGAGAGAAGATTAAATCTGTTTTGTTAAGCTCGGAAACCTAACTGAACTTTTCAGACTCGCCTGCTTCATATCATAGTCCTAAGGCAGAATTTCCACACATATGTGGCTTTGAAAACTGAAACTCATCACCGCTTGTAAAAAGAAAGTGAACGGAGGTGCCTGGAGAGCTCGGGGTTCAGGCCTCGGGTGCTTGATGGGCTCACAGTCCTGTGGCCGCAGCGCCCTCGTGTGGTAAAATGCGTCCAGTCTTTTCGGCCGCCTCCAGGCCCGGGCCCCCCATCACCGGTCCCTTCCCGGCCCGGGACCTATATTATTGATCATACCCCATGGGAGGTCGCATGCCGCAGGAGCTGAGCCACCCGCGAAGGTTGTCTTGCAGTTTTGCTATTCGAACCACTTATTACCGTGCTGGTACTAAGTCCTGGCTGGGATATAGAGATCCCATTGGTTCCGTGCTGTGTCCTTGCCTCTTAGAATGGTTACATAGTTCATTCGTCAACTGGTTGGTTGGAACTGTAGTTTATTTCCACCCAGAAAGTTTCACAAATGATGGTTGGGAACCCAAGGCATCGACAGAGATCTTTTTAGCTCACTCAGTCTGTTAGCTGTGGTCATATCCTGTAGGAGATTTCTTAGTTGAGAAGACCCAGTTAGGTACCGGAGTACCTGTTGTGCGTTTGCTAAATCACCCCGATAGGCCCTTGGGGGCTAGTGTACCCCGGAAGTAGGACCGGAGCCTGACCGGAGCCTGGTCGTCAGCGGTGGGAAAGGAAATGCTGTGTGTTAGTCCCTTGCTGCCTGCTCCGCCCTGCCCCCTGCAGAAACAGACATGGTCCTCTCTCATGCCCAGCGAGGGGGGTCTGAAGTGACCAGGTGAGGGCAATAGACGCCTCATTTCCACACTCGGAGACTGGTTTCTCGCCAGATCCCTCAGACCCCATGGTCTTCAAAAACTGCTCTTGGGTTGAGATCAGGAAACAGTTTTTCAAGGGACATTTTTTTTTACATCTGATTGGAAATACTGTTTTTGGTTATGCAGCTAGTAGTGGGGCCCCATCCCCCCAATGCCTCCCACCTCTCCTCCTGAGGCCTGGACAAAAGATTGTCCCGTGAAATTCAAACTTCATAGATGGCTTCCCTATCAACGAGAGGCCTGTAACATGCCCTCCTTACATATATGTATGTGTGTGTATATATATGAATTATATAAGTATGTACACAGCCGGTGCTCCTTGTCCACGGGTTTCGGAGCCTGCGGATATGGAGGGCTGACTGTATTCATTGTACTGCATAGTATGTAAGGGACTTGAGCATTCGCGGATTTTGGTATCCGCGGGGGTTCCCGGAACCGTCACCCGCGGATACCGAGGGGTGACTGTGCGTCTCCATAATGTGATCTGCATAACCTCCATATATATGTATGTATATATGTGTGTGTAGATAGATAGATATAGATATAGTTAAAAGCTGGGTGGTTAAAAGTCTCGTCTTCAGGATCAGAAAGATCTTCAAACCTAGCTGTTGTGACTAGGAGCAAATTTTCTCATCTCTCTCTGCCTGCAGTTCTTTGTGTAAAATGGGGATCATATCAGTACCTCCCTCAGAGTTGTGAGGATTGATCAAAGCCCTGTGGCAGACGTTGGCAGTGCCATTGTTCAAAGGTGGGAGAGCAAAACAGGGCCAGTAGCTGTGGCATGCCAGGACCCCGGGTCTGGCTGCCTCTGTGTGGAGGAAGAAGTGTTGAAGTGTGAATCTTATAACTGACTTCGCTTGGGTGATGTCCCACTCATCAAAGAAGGACCCGACTTTAACTTGGCTTCCATTGTAGCTTAACTATAAGGAAAAAGTGGGCTGGTCTTGCAAGCTATACATTTCTCGTTTGTTATATATCAATAAATCAACCCTCCAGTTAATTTGTGATTCTCATGGCAAACTGCCCCCGAGAGAAGGTCTGTTCCCGGTGTGCCGACAGAGTCAGGTTTCTGAGATTGTGAGTCAAGAAGTGGATCCTGGACTCACCGACACGCTGCCTCCCTTTGAGTCCTTTTGGGAGAGAGTTCTTGGCATCTTCTTGCTCTGCTTTATTCTGCTAGCTGCATAGTTACTCCCAGCCAAAGAATAAACTGCTTTAAAGACTAATGAAACCTTAATTCAAAAGATAACTTTGCCTTTTCTCCTAGGATACCTGGGATGAACTCCTAATTGGCAACGTAGAAATGAAAAAGGTTTTGGCTTGTTCCAGGTGAGGATTCTCTCGAGGCGGGACCTCTGGCGTGGCTCGCTCATTGGTTCTTAACTATCACCTAACCCTTGGTTATTGCATGACAGGTGCATTTTGACCACCGTAGACCCGGACACTGGAGTGATAGACAGGAAGGAGCCACTGGAAACCCTGAAGAGGTAGAACGTCAATGTGTTTCTAATATTATCCCCATCCTGTGGGTGTAGGTGTTCTCTCGAGCACCTTCCACTTTGCCTTCTGGTTGGTCTGTGTCTGTTAGTTCATGTGAGTACTTGTTGCTTCCTTTTTTTTTGGATGGATTTTCTATTGCTTTTGACCAAATTTTAATTGTATAATACTACGTTTTGAAATTTTCATCTCTCTCATATCAATTTTTAATAACATTTACGTGTGTATTTCCATATTAAGACATCAAATACTTTATTTTTATTGCAACTCAGATTCCTTTATTAGAATCCATATCAAGGAATATGAGAGTCATTGAAGTTGTATAATGAAATGTTAGAAAAATTGGAGTGTAATGAATTGTCAGAGTTTGTTTATCCAGGAGCTGCTTTTACGTCGTGTTTATTTAAAGAATTTTGGCTGACTTTAGTTCTCAAGATAGAATGTGTTTTTTATTATTTATTTATTTTTATTTTTTATTTTATTCATTTATTTATTTTTTGAGGAAGATTGGCCCTGAGCTGACATCTCTGCCCGTCTTCCTTTATTTTATTTGTGGACGCCTGCCACAGCATGGCTTAATAAGTGATGCGTAGATGTGCACCTGGGCTGCAAACTCGTGAATCCAGGCAGCCGAAGCAGAGCGTGCGAACTTAACTGCTACACCACCGGGCTGGCCCCTAGAATGTGTTTTTAAATCTAAGTTAACATTCTTTGGGAGGTGTATCCTATTTTATTTCCCTTTCCTCTATTTGGTTTTTGTTTTGAATGGGTTTAAGTTAGAAAAGAGGTTATTTCTTGAAGCCTTTAGATTTACAATTCTGTTTTGTTTTTTGATTTTTAAGATGCAGTAAATTTTTTTTTTCTTTAGACAAGCGTTTTGAAAAAATTAACTTCAGCAATAGTCCAGCCCCGCTGTGAACTGCATCTCTGTCTTCGTCTTTGTTCACCAAAGAACCCCAGTTTGGGGCTTATAAACGCGGAAAGGTGGAAAGCATATGCTTACCCACATTAAACAGAAGGTTTTAGGGTTCAGGGTGTTTCCGTTTTGAGACTGCATGAGCACTTGTTTCAATGTGTCGTGAAGTTGGAGATACACATGTAGACAGAGTATTTATTTTAAGTAACACGTATAAGTTTTTCTCTTTTTGACCTCCAACTGAAGCCATGGAAAAATTTTTTAGACTCTCAGGGTGCGTCTAGAAAAACCAGGATTATTTGCAGTTTGACCAATTGCTCACAGACTGCTGTCAATATTGTAGAAAAGGCTCGCTATTTCTGTATAGATAACCTGAGAGTGAAGACTTGAATTCTATCGAGAGCATTTAAATTATTTCTTTTTTGTGCCTAATGATGGACTTTTGCTTCTTTCAGCTACCGCCTGTGTGATCCTTCTGAGAAGGAAATACACAAGTCGTCCCCCCTTTTTGGGATCTATTATTCGGTGGAAAAAACTGGAAGCCTGAAAGTGGGTGACCCCGTGTATCGGATGGTAGAGTGACGGATCCACTATGCTGATGTGGTAAAAGGTCAGCTTTGCTTCTGGAATGCTGCGCCTTGAAGTTACTGTCACATTTTCTTGTGTTGAGATGTTTTTATGCTTTGTTGCTTTAACTCTTGGGAGAATGAGCAGTTTGTGTTCTAATCTTCAGAGCTGGAAAATGCCCTTTGTTTTTATTCCTCTCAGTAATCTGTATTCTTCCAGCTTTCTCCATCCCACTTTCCCATCCAATTATAGAATGCTGATGCAGGAGCCTCAGCAGAAAGACAAGTTTATGTTCCCAGCTCATTAGGGAAGATCTTTAAGGAATAAGGAAATGATGGTGAGCCATTCTCAAGAGTTCTTTCTTTAGTTTTTCTGTCTCTGATGGAAAAGGGAAGCAGAAATGTTTAAATTATTCAAAATCAACTTGAGGAAAAAAGTTGAATCAAATGCTTTTCATCAAATGTCCTTTTTAAATATGATTTAAGGTTTGGAAAAAAAAGATCAGGGCATCAAGGTGCCTGAATTCTGAATTACAAGGTAGAAAATAATGCTCTCACCTTGATTCCATCAGGCCAAATAAAACCCTGAGTCCTGGAGCGGAATGCCTAACCCCCAAATTATAGGAATGAGAAAGTCAGTCGGAAGACCTCAAATCGAGGTTTTTGAGTAACTCTTCTCATAAAACCCATAACCCAGTTCTTAAAGTCACCTCATTTCCAAAACATTTGACCATCCTTCTCTCTAATTCTGGCCTGACCTTCTCACGATCTTGCCTTCTCATCCTTCAGGACAGCATGGTTCAGAGAGTCTGGACCTAGCATTAGATATACTTGGGTTTGTCATCCTGGCAGCTCCATTCCCTAACTTGGTTATTTCACTCCTCTAAGCCTCATTGTCTTCTCTGCCAAGTGGAAATAATAATAGTATTCAAAACAATCAATAAAAGTTATTTTTTTTTTTGAGGAAGATTGGCCCTGAGCTAACATCTGCCACCAGTCCTCCTCTTTTTCCTGAGGTAGACTGGCCCTGAGCTAACATCTGTGTCCATCTTCCTCTGCTTTATATGTGGGAGGCCTTCCACAGCATGGCTTGACAAGTGGTGGGTAGGTCCACACCCGGGATCTGAACTGGTGAACCCCAGGACACCAAAGAAGAGTGTGTGAACTTAACCACTGTGCCACTGGGCCGACCTCCAGTAAAAGTTATTTTGAGGATTAGTTCATATAAAGTTGCAGCATTGCAACGAAATATAGGATGTGCTCAATAAATATCAGCAATGAGTTTTAGTGTCATCATTGCAACAACTACCCCATGTAGTGCCCAGTCTTAGATGCCATAGTGGATATAAAGATGAGACTGGCTTTCCCCTTGAGATGGGCAAAAAGGAAAGAATCTTCTGTTGGCTACCTGTTATGATTAGGCATTTCCATAACCAAAACTATATTTCATCAGTTGTAAGATCCCTATTTTTACCATATTTTAACATCTCTGAAATCAGCAAGCTTCTTATAACATTCAGGATGCCCTTTTGAAAAATCTTAGTGATGCATAAAATAGTGGTATATTTTAGGATTGATGTGTCTTGGATTTGATGAAGTGCGGTACGCATTAGAGAGAAAATTTGGAAGTTCTTAAGTGTCTACCATTTCTTAAAGCCCCATCTGGGGAAAGTGGACCCAAGCTTGAGCCATCTGGCTTGAGTGAGACTGATCCTGTGTTCCTGTGATTTAGGCCACAATTGACTGGACCCAGATCAGTGCGTGAGCCAAGCTCTTTCATATGTTGTCTGCATTTGAGGGCGCCCAGTGGCCTCTGAGATACCTTAACAAATGGGTGTCCTCTGTATTGCTTGTTCTCAAATCTACTCCGTTGGATCCTGTTTTGCAATGGATGTAGGCAAGGAGCATCTGTGGTTCACTCGGACTCAGGATTCATTGCTTCCCAGGAGTCTTTGTGCATTGAAGAGCCTAAGTGTTACCTTTTGTAATCCTAGTAGGGTCTCTGTGAGATAGATGTGGTAATCAGCATTTTCAAGGACAAGGAAAAAAGGCTCAGATAGGAGCTGATAAGAGGTAGAGCTAAGAGGCTCTTTGCACAACCTTATGCCATGCATTTGTATGTGTAAAAAGATAACTGTAACTCAGGAGAGATGCAGTGCTTCATGGGTTCAGAGGAGAAACAAATTCTTTCTGGGAAGGGTGATAGAGGAAAGCTTGAGAGTGGACATGGAACCTGAACTTGTGGAGGAAGGAAAGTCAAGAGAGTGCGCCAGGAGTCTAATGTGATAGAAGCTCCTAGGATGGCCAACCTACTACAGGGACCTAGGGGGACAGGGACGGGAGCAGGGGTGAGGAGAGATGAGGATGGAGAGGAGGGGTGAAGCCACGTGCTGTAGGTTCTTGTCAGTTAGTTTGCCGGAGAAGGTAGCTGTGGGACATGTTTAGCCCAAATCACGGTCAAAACCGTGCTTTTGGGAGATTGTCTGAGCCAGGTGTGGGATGGAGCGGAGTGGGGTGACAGGAGGGGGGAGGGGCCAGGCTGGGGTGACAGCATGTGATTTAAGCAGAGTGGAAGCTGTGGGTGTGGAGAGGGAAGTGTGGCATGCTCCGGTCCTCAGTGTGGCATAGATGCTGTTTGCCATTTGGCCCCAAGCTCTCTTTCAGCTTCATTGTCCGCCACTCCCCACACACCCTGGGCACTTCTGCTTCTCCTCCCTGAGTGCCAGCCCCAGGAGTCCCACCGGTGGAACTTCGTGTCAAGTCTCCCTGCCCCACCCCCAGAAGCACCCAGAGGTTTCCTTTCTGGTGATGCATTTCTATTGGGCTTTAAAAATAACACCAGTGTTGGGGCTGGCCCCGTGGCCGAGTGATTAAGTTCGCGCACTCCGCTGCAGGCAGCCCAGTGTTTCGTTGGTTTGAATCCTGGGCGCGGACATGGCACTGCTCATCAGACCACGCTGAGGCAGCGTCCCACATGCCACAACTAGAAGGACCCACAACGAAGAATATACAACTATGTACTAGGGGGCTTTGGGGAGAAAAAGGGAAAAAAATAAAATCTTTAAAAAAAAAAATAACACCAGTGTTACTCATTTACTTTAAGTGTGAGCCCGCTACTGTTTCTGCATTCTGGGATATCTCCTTTATACGACAGGTGGATGAAAGCTTGTACAAAAAGTAGCAGTTAATGCTTGCACCAGGGTTCCTTCAGTTGTTTATTTATCCATTTAAAATTTAATTATATAAAAGTTTATCTGTTCCATTATAAATGGAATACATGTTCATCACAGCAGATTTAGAAAATACTGGAAAAGTAGAAGAAAGAAATCACTCATTATCCCTGTTTATAAATTTTATTCTGGTTGCTTTTTTGTTTGTTTGTTTAATGTAGCCAAGATCTGTATAATATATATTATATAATGATATATATATGTGATAATATATATAATTATATACAATTATAGATATATGTGATATCTATCTAATTTATATATAGTTTATTTCTATATAAGTCTATATAATTTATATAGATAGATATATCTGTATGCTATATATAATTTGCATATAGATATATCATGTCTATATTGATATATATACACAGATAAATATATCATATGCATACATATATCATATTATATATATATATACACAGAAGTATGTATCATAAGCACTTTCACAGCCCTTCAGTCTATTCAAATGTCATTTTTCTTTTTTTTTTAGTGAGGAAGATTGGCCCTGAACTAACATCTATTGCCAATCTTCCTCTTTTTGCTTGAGGAAGATTGTTGCTGAGCTAACATCTGTGCCAGTCTTCCTCTTTTGTATGTAGGATGCCACCACAGCATGGCTTGATAAGTGGTGTATAGGTCTGAGCCTGGGGGGATCTGAACCTGTGAACCTCAGGCCGCCGAAGTGGAGCATGCAAACTTAACCACTACGCCACCAGGCCGGCACCTCAAATGTCATTTTTGATGGCTTCATAATATTATATTGCATAAATATATGATACTTTTTAAACACCATTTTACAATATTTGACACTTGGACTATATCCAGTTTTGTTATAAATAATATTGTAGTATATATCTTTGTATGCAGAACATTTCAAAATTGTGTTTTTCTGTAAGTTAGATTCCTAAAGTGGAATTATTGACTTGTGGGGTGTAGGCATATTTTTTAGTTGCCTGACCAATGGCTTTCAGAAGGGCTCTTCCCATTGGCACCCCAACATGGCACATGAGAGACATCCCTTGCTCTGGGCTGTCGCCAGAACGGGGGAATGACTCAGTCTCAAGGCTGCTTTTTTCTGTGAAGGTAATTTGGTGCAGGACATAGTTTATATTTCTTGCATTTTAACCTCAATAAGAGGCTGTTTTGTGGATGTTGGAATTGTTTATGACCAGTAGGAGAAATGACCAACTAATCAGAGATTCTTATAATTTATTCAGGTTTCAGCATCCTGGAGGTATTGATGAGGATTTTGACGACAGCAGCACCACCACCCCGGCGAGTCCTTATTACCAGGCTTTGACTGTCTTCATCCTGGAAATGAATCTCTATTTTTGACTTAAATAAATGATTGCCTATAAAATTATCTTGAATGTTACTATAGCTATTACACTTCTCCAGACCTTGACAATATTGATGAGTAAAGAAAGTTTAAAGGATCAGCTAAATAACTGCAAAATTAAAAAAAAAAAGTTTTACATTTTATCATCTGTCATTTCATGGAAAATAACAGGTTTCCTGACATACTTTTACATGTTAGCACAGTCACAAATTCCTGTTAGGTGGTCTTTACGTGGCTTTGGAGTCCTACCAACTTTTCACTCATGTGTTTTTGACTTGGCCATTATGGAAATCACGTTGTGTTTGAGTCTGGAAATTATTTTATAGACCTCGTTTTTATATTTGATCATGCCTCTGTTAAGCCATATAAAAGTAACTTGTTGCATGTAACTGCCAGATGCACCACCTGGGATTCCAACTGTGATAAAGGAGAGAATGGGATTTCAAAGAGAAGGAAATTTTGAGAGTAGGAGTGGGAGGAAGGAAGCGTGAACATATTTTTTTAATGTGCGAGTAATTTTTTTTGTAACAAAGAGAAATGAACTATTCTGGTATGACGAAACAAGAATTCTCATTCAAGTAATATGTGAATGAATTAACCCATTTACAATTTGTGGTTTCTTTACTACTAATAAATGTGAATCTCAATTATAGTTTTTCTCTGGTATTGATGAGTCGGCTTCCAGGGCTTTTCTCATTTTATATAAGAACTTCAGTCACTGTCATTCATTTTTCTTTACCGTTTGTGATTACTGAGCACAGGGCTTCCCTCCAGGGACACAATCGGACTCCACAAACGTTACTTCCTGTCACTGGTGGGGAGCCGGGGGCATCATGAACCACACAGATGGCTCATCTCAGGCCTGATGGCCAGTGACTGAAGAGACCGCCCAGCAGCCAGTGAGGAGCACCTATTCTTCCTTCTCCGTTTTCCTTTGCTGCGTCTGGGACTGAAACTGAAAGCAGGGGGCCAACTTGCTTTAACTACACTCAGTCAGTCATCTGTTTGCAAAAGTAGTCCGATAATGCATTCCTAAAACCCAGCCTGTAGATAACATCTCTGACGCCTGGGTCACCGTGGTAACCGGTGCTTGAGTTTTTTAGGAACTGGGGGTTGACTCCTTATCCAGTTCAGGCCAGTTAAGACCACTCAGCTATCAACCGGGCCTGTGTGAATGACTGACAGGTGACCCTTTGACATCAGGGGGCTGAAAACTCCACCCTCAGATCATACTAATGCCATCATTCCATCATTTTGTGAACATGTGTCCTCTGAAGAGCCATGAAGTTTGACTACTACTATCAATTACCCCACTTCTCCTTACCTCCAATCATCGATTCCCACTTCAGACCACCCTGCCCCTCTACCCAGACATATTCCTAATCTCCATTTTCAGGGAGATGGTTTTGAGATTTGTTCTCCCATCTCCTCGCTTGGCTTCCTTGTGAATAAACTCTTTCTCTGCTGCAAATTTATCATCTTGATGATTGGTGTACCATGCGGTGGGCAAAATGAGCCTGGTTTGACCACAAAATTAGCTTCCATTCCCAGCACCCTGTGAGGTAAAAGTGTTGTTAGCTATAGGCATAAGTACATTTTGGAAATGACGAAATTGAAAAATTATACTAACTTTAAAATCAACCATTAAAATAGAGAATCACATTTTTCCTTTTAAATTTCTGAGGAGAAATGAGGGAGAGAGATCAACAGAAGTACACAAAATTTAGTGCCCTCGAGCAGTCTTTTCTGTGGAGAATGTGGAGCTCAAGTTTTGCGTTGTGCTGAGATGTCTTGCTCTTCACTCTCTTCCCCCATGGCACACGGCACCATCAGTCACCTTTTCTTCTGGGGAAGCTGGGTTTACTCCAAGCCCCTTCTCCCTCCAGCTCATTCCAGGAAGAGGTGAGATCATTATCTACCCCAACAGCTGAAGCAACACTGACCTCTGGACTCTGAACACAATTCCTGGATTCACAGGAATGGGAAGAGGGTTGGAACCCTGGGGTTGGAAGAGAAAAGAACAAGACAGATATAATCTGTTTGGGCCCAAATATTTACAGTGGAAAGAATGTTCAAGGACAGATCCTGAGCACTGAAGGGCCCTGAAGTGTGTTACCAGCTGGACAAAGGGGATTCACTCCCCTCTGGGGACTCTCCCTTCTCTGGTACAAGACACCCTCCATCCGCGTGGACAATTCTGGTGGGGTCTTGAATTGTAGCATCCTGGCCCATGTACCTAGCTGGACCTGATAACGACTCTCTCCTTGACCAAGCTTTAGTCTGGCTCCTCTGGGCCCTCGTCTTGACTTGGACTCTACCTTGCCCTGTCCTTGTCACACCTGCATAATCCAGTTTGGCAAGAATCCTGCTAAGTCATTTCAGAGAGAATCCATACCCTGATAACTGATTGCTGACGAAGTTTTTCATCCCCTACCTTTGACACGGAAGACCTTGACCTGCCTTCAGCAAGAATCTGTTAAGTCAGCTTAGCAAGCATCCTCCTACCCTTGATGTCTCCTCTTAGTAACTTTTCTATCCACTTGACCCCCTCACTCTGCTCCTGGGCTATAAATCTCCACTTGTCTTAGCTGTATTCAGAGTTGAGCCCTATTGTAATACCTCTATTACAATAGTCTTTTCTTTTAATTGGCATATAACATTGTATTAGTTTAAGGTGTGCCACATAATGATTTGATATATGAATATATTCTGAAATGATTAACACAATAAATTAACATCCATCACTTCACGCAGTTACAATTTTTTTCTTGTGGTGAGAATTTTTAAGATCTAATCTCTTAGCAACTTTTAAATACACAACACAGTATTGTTACCTCTTGTCGCCCTGCTGTACATTACATCCCCGGATTTTATTCATTTTATAACCAGGAGATTTTACTTACTAACCACCTTCACCTGTTTTGCCCACTTCTCATGCCCCTGCCTTTAGCAACCACCAATCTGTTCTCTATATCTATGAATTTGGATTTTTTAGATTATACATATAAGTGAGATCATATGGTATTTATCTTTCTCTGTCTGACTCATTTCGCTTAGCGTAATGCCCTCAAGGTCCATCCGTGTTGTTACAAATGGTCAAATTTCCTTCTTTTTTATGGCTGAGTAATAGTCCATTGTATACATATACCGCATTTTTCTTTTCATTCATCCATGGACACTTAGATTGTTTCCCTATCTTGGCCATTGTAAATAATGCTGCTTTGAACATAGGGGTGCAGGTATCTCTTTGACTTAGGCTTTTTATTTCCTTTGGATAAATACCCAGAAGTGGAATTGCTGGATCATACGGTAGTTCTATTTTTAATTTTTGAGTAACCTCCATGCTGTTTTCCATAGTGGCTGCACCAATTTATATTCCCACCAACAGTGCATGAAGGTTCACTTTTCTCCACATCCTGGCCAACATTTGTTATCGCTTGTCTTTTTGCTAATAGCCATTCTAACAGATGTGAGGTTAGATTGTGGCTTTAATTTGTGTTTCCCTGATGATTAGTGATGCTGAGCACCATTTCATGTACCTGTTGACCATTTGTATGTCTTCTTTGGAAAATGTCTATTTAGTTCCTCTGCCCATTTTTAAATCAGATTTTTTTCTTTTGTTATTGAGTTGTGGGAGTTCTTTATATATTTTGCATACTAACCCCTTATCAGACATATGATATGCAAATATTTTCTCCCATTCAGTAGTTTGGCTTTTCATTTTGTTGATAGTTTCCTTTGCTGTGCAGAAGCTTTTTAGTTTGATGTAGTCCCACTTATTTATTTGTGCTTTTGTTGCCTTTGTTTTTGGTGTCAAATCCAAAAAAATCATCACCAAGACTGATGTCAGGGAACTTATCACTTATGTTTTCTTCTAGAAGTTTTATGATTTCAGGTTTTGTGTTCAAGTTCCTAATGCATTTTGCGTTGGCTTTTGTGAATGGTGTGAGATAGGGGTCCAGCTTTATTCTTTTGCATGTGGCTTTCCAGTTTTTCCAACATTGTTTTTTGAAAAGACTGCCATTTCCCCATTGTACATTCTTGTCTCCTTTGTTGTAAATTAATTCACCATATTTGCATGGGTTTATTTCTGGGTTTTCTACTATGTTCCATTGATCTATGAGTCTGTTTTTATGCCAATACTGTACTGTTTTGATTACTATAGCTTTGTAATGTATTTTAAAATCAGGAAGTGTGATGCTTCCAGCTTTGTTCTTCTGTCTCAAAGTTGCTTTGGCTATTTTGGGTCTTTCGTGGTTCCATACAAAGTTTAGAATGTTTTTCTATCTCTGTGAAAAATGCCATTGGAATTTTGATAGAGATTGTATCGAATCTGTAGACTGCCTTGGGAGTTGGACATTTTAATAATGTTAATTCTTACAATCCATGAGCACAGGCTATCTTTCCATTTATTTGTATTTTCTTCAATTTCTTTCATCAAAGTCGTATAGTTTTTAGTGTACAGATCTTTCACTTCCATGGTTAAATTTATTCTTAGGTATTTTATTCTTTTTGATGCAATTGTAAATGGGATTTTCTTAATTTCTCTTTCTAATATTTCATTGTTAGTGTATAGAAATGCAATTTATTTTTGTATATCGATTTTGTATTCTGCACCTTTACTGAATTCATCTATGAGTTCTAACAGACTTTTGGTGGAGTCTTTAGGGTTTTCTATAAATAACATCATGTTATCTGCAAACAGAGACCGTTTTACCTCTTCCTTTCAATTTGGATGTCTTTTATTTCTTTTTTTAGCCTAATTGCTCTGGCTAGGATTTCCACCACTATGCTGTATAAAAGTGGCAGGAGTGGGCATCCTTGTCTTGTTCCTGGTATCAGAGGAGCAGTGGTCTTGAATAAACTCTTCGTTACTGTTTTAATAAGTGTCAGGATAACATTTTCTGGCACATCAAACAGGAACCTAAGGATCCTAGACCGCCCTGACCCTAATGGCTGACCTTGTTTGAAAAAGGACCTGATTTGGAAATCACAAATGACTGAAGTCGGTGCCTGCAGGGCGGATCACACTGCTTCCTGCCCTAAGAAGCCTCGGACCTTTCCTCAGCACCAACCTTCCTAGTCAAGACCCTGAGGAATGCCCCTCCATCTCTGAGGCTTCCTGCCAGGAGGAGCCGACGGAATTCTGAGACTTGTAGAGGGCGCTCTCCGCTGCTCATTGCCCGGGCGACCGCCCACTCCTCGCAGGCCTCCAGGGCCTGGTCTCATCCATGAGCTCTCAGATTCTCACGCGCAGCAAGCTCCCTCGGCCCTGCGTGGCAGGCAGGAAAGGTGGCGGAAGGCAGCTGGGCGCTCCGCACGAGCCACGCTGTGCCCCCTGCCACCCGCCATCCCCAAGAAGGGGATCTGCTCGCTGCCTGATTTCTAATTTCGAGATCACGCTCTGTCCTGCAAATTTTGTACTTTTGTCTATTTTAGGTTAAACAGCACACAAATACGTAAATAAACTAGTCACTTGCAGCGATCGTGGGGGTGGGTACCTCGCCTTGCAGCCGCAGGGGGCGGAAGTGGAGGAGGCAATGGGACAAAGATCGCGTTGAAGCTGAGCCGCCACCTCCCACCTCCACTGCCCCAGGGGCCTCCCCTCAGGAGACGTACGCGACGCCCTTTGACAGGCCCAGAAGGGGTCAG